ATCTGTGCTAGGGCAGGGGCACTGTTACTGATCTTTGGTATAATTCCGCCATCTTGTGGCTCTACTGGGAACATAACGGCAGTTTAAACCCAACACACAAGCAATGAAACAGTATTTATCAAATGCATTGTTAACTATTTTAGAATATAGCCAAGAATAGGTGCTATGAAAAAACTATAGTTTTACTGGCCCAAATGAATGAAAGAGAAAGCTAACGTTTTTACTGGCATTTGAGAAATTTTAGGGGTTTTTCAACAATTACAAAACTGTGTGTCTTTACATGTACACATATGCATGTGTCCATACTAAAAGTTTTTCAAAAAGGGCTAAATACACAATAACTAGAACAAATCCTAGACATAACCACTGCTCACATTTTGGTTCTGAATTTCCTATAAAATTGTCCCAAAGTGTATTTATGCATGAGTTCTATAATAATAAAAAAAATATTCTTACTGCTAGCCAGGCTTACATTTTAATAATCTCACATTCTATATTTCCTTAAGAATTAGAAATTTCATCATTATAATGATTTTTTTTGAACACCAAGACAAAACTTCCTAGTTTTCTAAAATAATTTGTTCATCTAGTAACATGGTAAACAAATAAAATTAGAATTATATGACTTACAGTTGAATGAGCTTCCTTCTTTCAGGACTTCTTAGAACCCTTTGTGAATGGGAGAGGTTGAGAAGGTAAAGAACCACACAGCTCTCAATGATTCACTGTTTTTGCCTTTCACTCCTGAGCCACTGAATCTTGCATTCCCAAAGCATTTGCTATGAAACATTTGGATACACATTCATTGAAGACATTGTAAACTTGAGTTTTTAAGTTGCAGTTAAGATACTTGTAGATAATCTCAAATTATGGGTGTAAGTATTAAATTTATGAATATTTTGAAAAATTCTATTACCACAATAATTAGACAGCATTATCACTTTTATGCGAGATGCAGTTCTATAGGATTGATTAGTACTCTGAAAAACATCCCTTTACATTTGAGTCAAATGGCCACAATGTACTCTTTTCTAAATCTTGCTTATCTTGTTTCTCCAAAATGAGACTTACATAACTCTCTTTATAATTTGATGTTTGAAAACTTGTGCTATTTTAATGGTCCTATTAAACCTTGAAAGTTGAATATTAAAATTAAATATCTTGTACAATCAAACCTTACTTCTATTAAGTAGGAGAAACATGCTAAAATTTGCTTGGGCCACAATATTTAAAATACCAAAGTTCTATTTTTTGCTTGTTTTTTATAATTGAAATATAATATTTTGCAATAAGCATGGTTGTATTAGAGGTATATTTACTCTCCACGATATGGAAATAATTTAAACCAGGAAAGCTTAGTTTTAATAAAGCTTTGAGCACATCTTCAAATATGGATTTACTTATAATGCCAGCATGGAATTTGTGATAAGAGTCCTCATTTTACAAATTATGAGATGTAATATCAATTAAATCACTTTTTTGGTACTGGATATTGAACCTAGAGGACCACCTCCAATTCTTTTGAGTTTTATTTTGAGACATGAGCTTGCTGTTTCCCAAGCCGACCTCCAACTTGCAACCCTCCTGCCTCAGCCTCCTAAGAAGGTGGGTATACAGGCATGTACCACCGCACCCAGTTATTTAGCTTTTATAACACATATTTAACCCCACTTTGTGAGGTTTTATCTTACTTGTGGTAACTATCATGGTGTGATTTTTCAAAAACAGCTGATACTTACTTATCATATACCGTATAACAGACAGCATCTCCTTCCTGTGCTTAAAGGTTTATCACACGTAACATGTCCTGTGACTCTTAAGTGGTGGTTAATATATAGGTGTCAGATGGAGCTGAAACTGGAAATATTTGAGTGTGTTCATCTAAGGTCACATAACCAACAAGGGCTGCACCTTTGCTCTGAAGTCAAACAGTTTGGCCCTTGGCCTCTGTGTAAACAGTTCCTCACACCAGGTTGTGGTCATTCCACAAGGTCTGTACCATGCTGCTGACAGTGCTGTGCACCACGCCCGCCTTACACACTCACTAGGGAGGGATGTCCCACTTCACCCCACTTACAGATGTGACAACCAAATAGCGGATGCACAAGCAGGCTCAAGCCCACAATTGTTGGAAGCCAAGGCAGCGGGAGTTGGAGGCCCAGCAGCCAGGCCCCACTGTGTACTAGCACATGGCTCTGCTCTGTGCAAAAAGCTTTTCTGTCCAAGCAACCACCAGGCTTTCCTCCAGAATCGTGGTTCCTCCCAGGGCCAGTCCTAGCCTGCCCTTTGTCCTACAATCAAGGAAATCCGTGCAAAACCGCTGGGTCTGGATAAACACTTCCGAAGATACATGTAAAGGACAGTCAATTCCATAACCAAAGAAGCCTGCTTTTCACAAATGTGCACGCACAAATTCATGAGAAAGGAGGTAACAGGGATGGCAGAATCACTTTGTAGTGTTTTAGTGTGCACTCTCTGTATACATGAATCAAGACTAATGATCCCTTACACATAAGACAGTCCTTTGGCTGGCTAGATTCTGTCACACTGCATTTTAACAGAGCCGTTTCTAGATCACAATCATGCTGTGGGCATTCTGGGCACACTGCCTGTGAGGTGAGACTGCAGGACTGGTGCTGGTGCATGCTGTGCTTAGGGTTCCTGAGAATGCACTAGGTACATTGACTTGGAGATAGCAGTGTGAACTGGCATTTTACTTCTTAGGCAGGAGAAAAATAGAGACCTGTGATGATCCATTACCTGTCTGTATTTCTGAAAAAAAAATAGCAAACAATAGCAAGGACATTCAGAATCTGATATGTATTTTTGGTGAGTGTAAGACAAACTTTGTGTACCATGCATAAGACATTGTAGATCTGTTTTTTTAACCAGAGCAGGATTTGATTACTTGTGCATTTTTTTGTCATTTGCAAAGCAATTCTATAAATACTAGCAAAAGTAATCAAGAGAAAATATGGAGCATTATCTGGAGAACAAAAGTGGGAATGATTCCTAATTAGCTAGCATATTTGCATAATCACTTATTGTCAAGAATCTGATTTAGCGTCACTCCTGGATATCTACTGCATTACTAGTAACACCTCTAATGTTTAATAACTGATACCACCTGATTGATAGTTTCAAAGTAGTAAACAGCAGAGGCAAAATGACATTTGAATTTTTTAAAATTCAAATTGCAGTACTCTTACCAATATATTGTTGTACTTTGTTCAAATCCAATATAAATGACTTTTATTTATGCATTTATATTTACAATCTAAACAAATCCATTTTACTTAGTAATTACTACAATATTTTTACAATTCATTATGGAAAATAGATAACCGTGTATTCTTTTAAAGATACTCTACAAAACCATGGATTTGTTAAGTGATACTTTTTACCAAAGCATTTTATAGCTATTCCAATCCACTTGCAGAAATCTTCTTTATATTCTGTGGACTAGTTGTTAATAATCTTCATTACCTGCTTAGCAGACCATGTCAGTTCTGCAGAAACCATCAAGGTTAGGAACAGAGATGCAAATTTAGGTCTACAGTAAGAAGCAGGGTTTTTGCAGTAATACTCAGATCCTTAAAATGTACATTGTAACAGGTTTATACTATTATCTGTCTTTTTATCCTGCTATCAATAACCCAATAAAGTGTTGAAAATTACCACTATGTATTCTTTACTCTCCTTTCTTTCTAACCTTAAATAATTTTCATTCTTTGACAAGGAACTGAACAGAAGGAAGAAGTGGGTTTTTACTGGGAGGGGACTGGTGCAGAAGACCAGGTGGAACCATTTGGCTCGAGCTACTCTTGTCTCTTTGACTTACTTTTGATTTTCAGAATTTTAGTCTTTTCCATGTAAGAATTTCTCTAGGAGTATTAAAATACTACTAAGTTGCCTGATGTGAAGTATTTTCATGAGCATTTTGAGTGGTGTAGCAACTATAGTAAAGACTCTAGCATTCTAAAACACATACAATGTATAGTTTTGAAAATAAAAGAATTCATACTTCTGTAGTGCTTAGACAATATTGATCATTAATACATCTTTAATGATTAATCACCATAAACTATGTAGGTTGAATTAATGTACATTTTTCTGAAATGTTTATCTGTAAAATGTTTCAAAATAACCTAAAATTATACTTGAGATATTTACATTTAAAATGTTAGCTTTAAAATTTTCTGTAAGCTATAATCCACAAGGCAGTTCACTACAGACGTTTAAATGTTATTATTATGATAACAAAACAGATATGGTTTTCCTAATATGAAAATCATATCTACTATTTTGTAATGTTATATCTGTTCTTCAAATATCCTGGTAATTAATCAGCCAGATTTCATGTCTTTTTGGGTTTTACCTCCCTTTGCATAAATGTGTCTGTAATCTGAAGATCAAGGCCATTATACTATATGTAAAATACCTATGTAGTAGAGTATAATGTTCATGAGCCTGATTCGTTATTATTGTTTGTCAGAACTAATTTTAGTTTCTTTCTGCATTTTCATAACTATTGTTTTTTTCATATGCTGTAATGATATTACAGGGTTTGGCTTAGTATTTATTTTCTTCATTAGTACAGTATTTTTCAAAATTATTTTAATTTTTCAAATAAGTTTTTGCATGGTAAAACTGAACTTATGCACACAGAATTGAAGTATGGAGCATAATGTATGCGTATGGTAGGCATATTAGTGAATGCACCATTTTACAAAGCGAGAACACCTCTAGTAATAAACAGAAGAGAGCAAAACTACCTTGCCATTTTATAAGCTGATTATGACCCCCCAAATGCCTACTCTTTCCTATAACAGAAAGTAATAACCAGGGCAGCAGCACCTCTGACAACCAGGTGGCAGTTTGCTTATCTCAACCCTGTGACAAGTTGTCATTCTAATCTTCTCATTTCTAGATTGAAAACCTGAGTGGTTTAATACTGAGCATAAGACACAACTCTTTTGTCTTCTTCTCCTTGCTTTTAGCTCCTTGTGAAGGCAACACGTTCTTCTGCCACAGTAACATGTGTATCAATAACACCTTGGTCTGCAATGGACTCCAGAACTGTGTATATCCTTGGGATGAAAATCATTGTAAAGGTAATGATTAGCCTTTGAAATTTGCAAAATTCCCTACCTGTAAAATAAGAATAAAGCTTATGTGCACTGCTCATAAAAATAAGTATATAGTGGCTTTGTCATGCACTTCTAATAATCATTTTTAGGCATTTTCTTTGCCTTTACTTAGGCTGTATCCACACATTTCCTGATTCATAGTAGACTGTCTTCACCACTAGAATGCTTACTAATATCTTAGAGGCTGCCGTGCCATGGAGAGTAAATTGGATTCTTTTGTGGAATACATTGCTCATTCTCATAGGTGGTACTCACCAATTCATAGCCACACCTCCCATTTATTCCTGGTGGGTTTTTTTTTTTTTTTTTTTTTTGCCCTTTTTGCAAATACTCTAGAGATAAAATATCTTTAAGGAGCATTATGCTTTCAAGTACTTCCAGCCTTTTTTACTGCACATCTGCTACTAAATGCTTTTCACCTTATCATTAATATAGCTCCCAACACCCCTGGTCTCTTCTGTAATCTCTCTGCAAAGGGTTATGTAAGCAGGAATTTTTGGCTGGACGATGATGGTGCATGTTAAATTGGAGCTGCCAGGAACACTTTGCTCAGCTTTACTATCAAACAATTTGCAAAGAAACTGAAACACTCAGTTGCCTGCGTCCAGTTATGTCTACCTCAGTGCCTTCTGTGGCTGGGCACAGGCAAGCATCACACCGTTCCCACTGTTTGGTAGTCCTTAAGATGAGCAAAGTTGGCAGTGATTATTTGGATGACGAGATGTTGATCATCATTACATGTGTCTAGGGAACCACTTGTCAGTAGATAGGAAGTTAAATATCATGTGAATTATCCTCATAAATTCTCTTAATGACTCACAGTCACCACCAGCTTTGTGTGTCCCAGTGGGATTTGTTGCTATGTCTGTTAGGAGTTCTTGACCTCAGCCAACAATCTGGGGCTGAGGATTTAGCTCTGTGGTGTTAAGTGCCTACCTTTCAAATGCACAGTCATGAGTTAGATTCCTGGTACCACAAAATAATAATAATAATAATAATAATAATAATAAATAAAATAAAATAAAATAAATAAAAATAAAAGAAAGTCCCTGGCCTGTCCTCTAGAAGGCACAACCATTCATTTGATGTCTGATCAATTTTCTAGTGATGGAACGTATTTCCTATGATTTCAGTAAGTTACAAAGTTCTGGGGTTTGTTTTACGGCTCAGTGTGAAATATATCCTAAAGAAGTCATTAAATCTTACTTTGTAAAATCCAGTTTAGCACACTTTGCCTTTTTCTTAGATTGCTCTATGTATTTATATTTAACTTAACATACTATCATTAATACAGATTTTGGTCCACTATATTTTTCTACATTTCTCATACGTTTCCTTTTTTATTCCTTTACATGTCTTCTCTTCATTAAGTGCCTATATTGTACTGTATCATTTTAATTTTCTAATAATTTTTCAATGTATTCTTGATTTTATTTTTTAGGGATTGCTTTAGGGCTTATAATAAACAATTTGATTTCTTGGGAAATATTTTAGATTTATACTAACAATTCTAGTGCAATATAGAAACATTATTGCTATAAAGCCCTATTCTTGATTCTTTTTCCCCCATATTATGTTTGTTTATGTTATGGGCTCATTAATACACTGCGATAATTCTTACTTTATAGAATTTTAAATCTTTTTGAGAAGTTGGCAGAAGAAAACATGGCATATCTATGCCAGCATTATTTCTTACACAGTCCTTTAATGTTTCTGCTTTTCTTCATTTGCTTTTGTAGAATTCCTTGACCTTTGGTGTCATTTCCCTACTCCACTTTAGTTTAACTCTTATCAATCTCGTTTGCATGACTGTCATCAAATACGTGTTAATTTTGTAAGTGATAGACTGCAGCAGTACCATCATATATATCTGGCATTGTGTTTTTTTCTTTTTAAGTGAAGAGTACAGAAGAAATGCTCAGCTGTACTGTCTTTCCTAGTTATTGAAATAATTGCTTCTGTACTTATTTTCTGGTTTAAGCTATCGTCTCTCCATTTTCATGCGGATTTGCTACTGTCTCAGGTCACTTTTTCTTACCTCAAGAATTTGCTCCCTTATTTCTTTTAAGGCATCTCTTGCAGCATTGATTCTGTCTTCCCTCCTGTGTGTCTGCCATTCTTGAATGTGGGTTAGCTGGCTATTGTGATTTGGCTACAGTTTTGGTTGTGGTGACTTAGGCTTTGCTTTTGTCTGCAGCCCTTGACATTACATTCCCACTGTCCCCTTCTGGCTACTGATCACAAACCAGGTGATGGCCTGCTGGGGGCTCCTGATGAGTGCTTTGGTGGTGCTGGTTTCTAGGTTTTCTCTTTATCTGCTTTTTAAAAATAGTTTTAAGTACTGTATATCAAGGCATGGATTCTTTTTCCATTTATTCTAATTGGAATTTGTTAAATTTAGGTACAGATTCTGTCATCAAGTTCGGGAAATTTTGAGCCATTATTTTTTAAAAGTGTTTTTCCTGTTTGTCCTCTCCTTCTATGCCCCCGTTGCATTATGTGAGTGTGCTTGTTTGTTGAATGCATTTTGCTGAGGCTCTGTTACTTTTTCTGCCTTTGATGTCCTGTGTCCTTTATTAAACTTTCCTAAGCAGGGAAAATAATTTGAGGTTGCAGTCAGTTGTGGCTCAAATGTCGTTGATTCCCACTCTTCCTAAGAAAATCCAGTTTAATTTTTCAAATAGGTACTTTACCAATTGCTATAGACCTTTCAGACATTTTCAAGGAATTCATTAAATAGGAATTTAAATTCAATCACTTTTCACAGTAATTTTTGCCAATTATGGCCACATGATTTGGTAAGCAATCCATGCAGACCCTCATTACACCATGCCAAAATTTCTGTCTTGAATCTGAATTGAGTTATTTTTTGCTATCAGGATAGCAGGCTTAGTTTAACTTCAGCAATCTCTGTCAAGCATAGGTATAGAATAACATGGATATATTTATATTCCCAATTACGCAGTTTAGAGGTATCCTTAAAACTAAGAAGAAAATAATTTACTGTATAAAATTACCAGTTTCTTCCCAGATGTTATGCCACAGATCTTGAACACATTTCTTCAACATACACATGTGCATAGATATAGACATTCATATGTTTGTATGTGTTTATATAAATATGTGTATATAATTATTTAAAGCCAATGTATTGGGCAGTCTGAGGGGCATTTGGGAATGGAAGGCAGGACTGTTCTGAAAAGTGAGAACATGTCTTGTTTTTAAATATTTTTAGGCTGTTTTAAGTTTGTGAAAATCCTATGCCCAGCCTATTTCATTTTGAAGTTTTCAGGATATGTTTTGACCATAATATTAATGTGTGGTGGGTTGTTTCTCGTTTTGTCTATTGTTTTGACTGTCTCCTACCTGCAGAAAAGAGGAAAGCCAGCCTGCTGGACCAGCTGACCAACACCAGTGGGACTGTAATTGGCGTGACTTCCTGCATTGTGATCATCCTTATTATCGTTTCTGTCATTGTACAGATCAAACAGCCTCGTAAAAAATACGTCCAAAGGAAATCAGACTTTGACCAGACCGTTTTCCAGGAGGTGTTTGAGCCTCCTCACTATGAGTTATGTACTCTCAGAGGGACAGGAGCAACAGCTGACTTTGCAGATGTGGCAGATGACTTTGAGAATTTCCATAAACTGCGGAGGTCATCTTCCAAATGCATTCATGACCATCACTGTGGATCCCAACTGTCCAGTACTAAAGGCAGCCGCAGTAACCTCAGCACAAGAGATGCTTCTATCTTGACAGAAATGCCTGCACAGCCCACCAAGCCCCTCATCCCGCCCATGAACAGGAGGAACATTCTCGTCATGAAACACAACTACTCACAAGATGCTGCAGATGCTTGTGACATTGATGAAATCGAGGAGGTGCCGACCACAAGTCACAGGCTGTCCAGACACGACAAAGCCGTCCAGCGGTCAGTATCAGTAGGTTTGTTGATGGCAGCTATAACCTGAGGACTGAAATGTCTTCCGATTATTATGTGCTATTTTGTCTTCATATTTTAACTCCCTGTATGTGATGACTTAACTATATTTTCTTAACGTTTTTCCTTTTCAGTACTATACATAGTTTCCTTAAGTCCCGCATTGCATGATATATATGTAAATACATATGTGTGTGTGTTTGTGAGAACTCATGCACAATAGATCAAAAATATTCTATTTTTATACATATGCTCATTTGTGTAAAAATTATCTTTCAATTTATAATACGGATTTAAACGGCTAATTTGTTTGCACATGGTTGTTCCCATCAATATTCATATATTTTAAGATAGAAAAGGATATTTAGAAAAAAATTGCCTTACTCAGATGGCTAATCTATCTTGCTGGACAGTTTTGATACAAACATAATATTTTTCAACATAAAATATTTATATACAAAAATCAAAATAGTTTTCTACATATCACAGAATATATTACAAATTGCATATGATAGCAAGGCTTAATATGACACTGAAAATTCATATTTAAATCTAGAAAGTAGAAACATTTTATTTCTTATTATAGCAGTATGTGGCAACTGTATACAGTCTTGTAATATTTTCCCTAAAATAAATGTTTTGAAGATAGATTTTTAAAATTCAAAGTAAATTAAATTTCAGCATAATCTACTTACATTTGTATTTTTGCATGTTTACTAGTAGTTAGCGTTATGTTATAAATGTTAATATTTTTTCCATTTTTAATACATTCTCAAAATCCAAAATATTTTAGTTGATTTAATATTTTGCATGATGATGACAAACAGCTATTTCTATTGTTTTATAAATTTTAGGAAAGTTTTTAAGTAAATATTTGTATGCATATATTTATTTTGTGCCCAAATACTACTTGGTTGAATGAACTAGCCGTAACATTCCAGGTTCTGCCTCATTGGGTCTCTAAGCAAACATGAATCTGAATACAACACAACTAGGGTCTAAAAAGAAAATTGAAGGTAAGCAAATGCCCTTGGTTCCTTTACTTTGTTGTACTCTGTTTTGTTTTGTTTTGTTTTGTTTTTATGTTTTGTTTTGTTGCAAGTGTCTTATAGTTTTTTAGGGTATGTGACATTTATTCATTATTTATTTGAGATGTGTGTTTCATGAAATTTCATAATTAGACGCATAATGGTCCATGCTAATGGGGATGATTTTTACCATATGTAACTTTAAAATATATGTTAACATTCTTAGAATTAAATGTTGTACTAAAATATCGTCCCATATCAATTTAATAAGCTATATTTTACATATTTTAAGATAATGATACTAAAAGTATTTAACACATGATCTGTCAGAATAAATGCCACAAGAAACCTCTTTTTTTGCAAAACAAAAATATAATATTCATTCTCAATATAATGCAACTAAATAATCTGAATAAATTAAAGTGGTAATTTAGTGATAATTTGGCAACATTCTATTCCAAACTTAAGCATTAAGTATATGAGGGTCCTCATACAATGTTTTCACGCTTATTTTTGCATGAATCTGTAGCTTATCTCATCACAACTAAATGCAGCATGTAAAGGGTTCCATTAATACCAGTTGTCTGTCTGTAGATATATTTTGTTACCAAGTAACGCAAGGTTTCACTTTGTGCTATCCTATGTCTCTATTAATCTAATTTGTCTCCTATTACATTTGCTTGATATCTAATCTCTTTGAAGCTCTTCAGCCCTGTCAACTACTCTTGAATTAGGGAATACAGTTCTATGCTGGATATTATCTTGAAAAATTAGTGTACTTGTATGCGGTTTTCATTGGAAGAAAATGTTTTAACTGTGTTTTATTTTCAGAGAAGAACTATTTATACAAACATGGGGACTGTGAAAAGAAAATTCTATAGTGAATTATGAAAAGTGGACATATTTCTAAATCCATTCCACTGCCTTTATCCAAACTTAAGAATTACAGACATTTGTTACTCCTTCGGCAAGACATCCCCGCTGCACAATGATATGTTCATTTCGTAATTTGGTTGCTGGCCACCAAGTGCTCCTTAGTTTTTAAATACATTTTGAGATTTACTGGAAACTTGAAGAAGAAATTAGTTCCTGATTAAGACTACCCCAACCTTACTTTTATTGTCAGTTTCACTTTTGTTTTATGTTGTTTATGTCTTTGTTATATAATTGTACATTGTGTGATGTGTGAAAAAACACAACTTTAGATGAACCTTATGTTACATATACATTGTTTTCATTATATAGACTGCTTGAGAATAGTGCGTTCCTGAGTGATTTTGAACATGCTACAGTGAAAAGTGAAAATGTGGACCATGGAAACACCAGCTAGAGGTTTTATGGACTATACACACCTTTTATTTTACTATTATTAAATGCAGTAAAAAGTAATGAGTCAAATTACTAGACGGCAATAAGAAAAATATCATTTTTGTCTTCCCTGTATACCCATGACTTTCTTTTTACTCTGTATCAAAGGAAGATACCCAGTTTCAGAAGTCATTTTGAAATCAGGTATTTTGCCATTCATACCCTCCAATAGACATGTTTTTGATTAAGCACTTAGCAATATGACTGAACTGACAGTTTGAGAAAATACCCTGCATGTCAGCACTGGATATTTGGGTTGGAGAAATATCTTCTTTATTAGACACATTGTAAAAAGCATGCATCCTCAAATACTGCTGTTACTCTTCTGTTTCTTTGTGTCATATGCTTGCTACTTGTAATTTTTATATAAAGATATATAAAATGTATAATAATTTCCTAACGAGTTCAGAGAAAAGTTTTCTTCTGTTAGAGTGATAAAAAAATTGAATTACGTAAGTATACACTCTATTTATATCAATTCTTCCCAAATTTTAGAGTACAGAATATACTTTAGGATTGATATTTAATTCCCCAAATCTTTGATTTCTAAAATTTTATGGACTACATTCTCCTTTTAGAATAGGAAGGTCTTTTTAAAGTGCTTTAAAATCATAGAACCTTTTATGGTATAAGTTATACAATTCTGAGTTATTCTTATACTCAGGCACACATATACCATCTGAAAGCTTAGTGATTATGATGTGTTTCATACCAATAAAGCAAAACTCTATAATATATTTAATTGCTGTTGAATTGTATACACATTTTATAAAGTTTGATTCAGTGAGTGGGTACTTTTTAAAATATTGAAAGTGTATTCTTAGAAAATGAATTTTAAGAACCAGTATTACTGTAAATCTACTTACCAACATTTTCAAAACTATTGAGCTCTACAAGTTTAAAAGAATTCTGATCTACAAATGCCAAGTAATTTTTGTATTTTGGTTTGAGACAGTCTCTTCCTATGTAGTTTAGGCTGACCTTGAACTCACTATGTAGCTCAGGCTGGCCTCAAATTCATGGGTATACTCCTGCCTCAGCATCCCAAATGCTGTGATTACAGGCATGCTTCCCCAAGCCTGGGCCCAAAAAAGCAAGTAATTTGATCTACTGCAATTCAGACCTTACAGATCCAGTGACTTTACAAACCACATGGATAAATCACTGTCATTTCTCCCTGTCAGGAAGTTAATTTCAGATGTTAAAAATAAAACCAAGTAAATGGGAAATAAAATAATTTTGTAATACAAAAATCAAAGAATTGTAGCAATTTTGAATACTCTATATTGAAGACATATCAGTTTACAAAAACAATCACACTAATTTGATCAACTGGTGAATAGTAAAAAATGTAACAAGCTTGATAAATAAAGATTATTTTCATTATTCATATTTTATACACATTACTTGTGATAAAACTTATTGTTTTTATTTGGTTTGACTGATTTATTTATTGTCATCCTTGCTTTTATGCCCTTTATTCAAAGATGATGCACCAAAGATTTTTTTTGTGTGTTCATAGGCTCTCTTCACTTTGAATGAGTAATCTCAAAAATATGATATATATGATAAGGCTTTTTATTTATGACACCAATGAAGACAGGAAAATAAATGAGGTGAACAATTTACCATTTACCTTTCCTGCTGCTGTTCACACACAGGATGTCCATCACCTCCAGTTGCTCCTCATTAAACAGAATACTAATGATGTGTCTATTCTCTGTTTAAAGGATGTTTACACCCAAAAGCTACTAATGGGTAGTTAATTTTGTAAACAACAAACTGAAAAGTACACTGGTGAGAATGGATATCTTATATATTTAATACCCATTAACAACATGGGGAAATATATTTTGAATGAAGAATAGGCCTCCTCAGTGGTCATGCTAGAATTATTTAAGGATAGAGAAAGACACTGAGCCATCAGAACAGAAGATGTTGATGCTCCTGGAACAGAACCCTGAGGTACCCTGCTGTGCTCTGGCAACAACTCTTGGTGCTCACCCTTGCAGGGTAGAGTTCCCACAGGGTTGGAGACATTTTGAAAAGCCCTGGAGCCGATTGATTTAAAAGCCACTACTGAAGTTCATCAGTATGTTAGAAACTCCTATTTATTGGCTACATAGACTGTATTTCCTGAATATGAACCTTTGGCCTGCATTCACAAATGGGTGACACCTCTAGATGAAAGGAAATATTTCAAGATTTGTAAATCAAATTATTTTAATAGATAATTATTTTTTCATAAAATAAATTCAAATATACTAATACAAGTGCTTTATTAAGTCAATACAATGGTGTTTTCAAATAATGTATTAAGTTAGCCTGCTATGTTAGTTTGGGAAAGCTATTCATTTTATTTTTCTGTGTTTGAAATTATTTTTCAAAATTTTGGTGACATATCATAATTACATGCAACATGATGGAGCCCCAGATTAGGTTTCACCTCTGTCCGAGTGCATTTTGGTTACCTAAATCAAAATTTGTGTGTTGATTTGGAAATCTGATGATTGGTAGATGTTTTTACACATGCCAGCTTGTGTGTCATATTGTAAAATGGACATGTTCTACACATGTTTTGCCATGATTTTCTTTTATTTAACTATATAATTAAGATGTGGCTGTGAACATAACTAGATGTCTGTATCTTTAGGCCTTTGAAGAGGAACAGCCTGTTCTGTAGAGACACTGGTTATTTTATAGAACTTTATTTTTTCCTACTTAAAAATACCCCATGTGTCTGAATGACTGTAAAATGATGTTTCTCAGTGTTTAAAATTTTTGATTTTTGTTATTATTTGAATATTCATTCAAGCTATTCCATCAGCTTCAGGTTTTCTTCACACATGAATGTGACTTCCATGCCCTCAGAATATAATAAATTGCAAAATACAATGTCAGTTCCCATTACCTTTAATAAACTAATAGTATACAATCTTTCAGTTTTGGTAGTGAAATAAATTACAGCATTGTGTCATGAAGTTTGTATATTTCAGTGAAGAAAATGAATATAGTATCCCAACTCTGGAGGGAAGTTACATACACCAAACCATTAAAATTCTCTGAATCTTAAAAGAATATGGTTTGAAAATGAGTTTCTGTTTTCCTTCTGCTCTGAAATGTTACTTTATGTGCATGATTTTTTTCCCATTGGTTGGAATTTTACAATATAGTATGAAGGACCTAGCTAAGAAATTCTTAAATAGTTAAAAAGTAAAATAAAGTAAATGAGACTTCTGTTAATAACTGATCTCTTATTTAACTCATTTCCTTATGTCCCTTTAATAATGTAATAAATGAGCAAAATATATATTGTTAAATAGCCAGAGATATGTTTTTCAGTAAATCTAAGGTCCTTGTTAATTTAGGATTCTCCTGATTCACATCATTAACAAATTTGTGTGAATTGTGCTACAAATTTTATTAGCTTAATTATATTATTAAAATAAATAGGGAAATATAAGTAACAATGTAAATGAATGTTGTCAGACACAACTCGTTATTTTTCTTTTAGCTTTTGAGTCTATACTTTATTAGAAGTTACTAAAGAAGTAAATGTCCTCTTACACCATCTGTAATTTCTTAAAAGAAGGAGAAATATACCATATCTGCTTGGGTCATCTACTTGGGTGCATTCTAGAAGGTCCTTATAACTGAGCCAGTATGACCAGATAGTTAATTTACTCCCTTACAGCTGTAGTAGTTTTGCAGTCTCAGCATGTTGCTCTTCCTAGGATCAACCATCTCTCTAGCACTGAGGTATGCCATTTTTTGAGGTTTGTTCTTTGCATTTTTTAAACAGAATCTTGCCCTGTTCCAGGCTGGTGTCATTGTATGTCATACGCTGGCCTCTCATTTGTGATCAAATTTCTTTGGCCTCCCAGAATGCTGGGATTATTCATATCAGTGACCACTACTGGCTTGGGCTCTCTCTTAGTTACAAATACTGACAAAAAACTAAAAAGTGACCAGAAAACAGTGTATAAATTATTCTAAATAAAGCATTGCTTTTATAACACATTTTAAAATTTGCATGCTATTGATTTTCCTATGAGTTAAATTTGGTATTTTTGAACTTGTACAATCTAGATACCAAACTGTTTCTTAAGATCTTTGGAAATGAAAATGGAGAAAGTGATCAAATAGGGAACACACTTTTGGAGACTGATAGAAGGATACATGCTCATGGAGACCTAGGGGGAAAATGAAGCTCCAGGGTTTCTATGTTGTCCATCTCGAGACACTGGTTACACACCCCAGCACCCTTCCCTCATGACACCTTCTGGAAGATAGGACACATTCAACAATCCAGAGAACAGTGTGCAGGTGAGACTTGCTATCAAGAAATTAGTAGCAGGATTATGGGATACCACCTTTGCAGGAAGATCAAAACAAACTGCTTGAAGAGTTATCTTCAAAGCAAGTTTTGAAGGAAGGGAAACGTTACCAGACTACAGTGCAGCTAGACTAATGAGAGCAGAGGTGATCTTGGAAGATCATTTATTTGAGTTGACAGGAACACAGGCGGAGACAGGAGGGGTCACTGTAAATATAGTTGGAATAGAAAGTAGACATTGATGTCATTATTTCTGACTACATAAAATGTTTATCCACAGGAGTTTGCTTTTATTTAATACCTCAACAAAATAGAGCTCAAAGAGCATCTATGGACAGTATGTTTGCTAAATCGAATGAAGATTGAAATAAAGTAGCACAAATTAAGATAATAAGAAACCAACCCGTTAAAAAAGTAACAAATTGATTGTTAGAGATGCAGGAGTATTTTCTTCCTTTGCTATTTATTTTATACTTTATTTTTTATTTCAAGGTTGTGGTTGACCGACTAGCAAATATTTAGAGCATCACATGCTGAACATTATCCTGAGCATTTTATCTGTAATTTTTTCTTTGATCATCTTAGCAATTCTATGAAAAGCAATTATAATTGTTGTGTTTGTTATTGTTATTATTCATTGCATGAATGAGAAAAGTGAAGAGAGTTTTAGTAACTTCTCTTAAGATTGTACAAGAGGGGTGACTTCAGCTTTGAACCAAGCCAAGTCAACCAGTATTCTTCACCAATGCACAACCAGTGAATATTTGATCTACTGCATTTCTCTGAAAAAGTTCATAGAAGTTTATATTAATCTATGTTAAAACCACCGTTTTGTGTTTCCTCATCTGTAAAATATGTATCAAAGCACCTTTCCACTTTAGAGCGTGTGATGATGCATTGAAGATATTTTTATACCCTATATTGCATTATAAAAATAAATCATTTTTTCCTAAATTATGTGTAAACTTCATTTTATAATTGACATGGAGTGTTGGGAGCCGTGGCACTGTCAAGTCATCAGACGCGGTGATTGCGAGGCCTGTGGGAAAGTACAAAAGCCTGAGCTAGATTACCCCTCTCATCGAGCCCGCCTGTGTGGCACCTGTTTCTTATCACCCCACTAAGTTCCCGCCTCACAGGGTAGTCTGCCTAGCTATTAATCCTATATATAGCCAGTGCCTCCACCCCCGAGAGAGACTGAAGCACAAAAGGAGCCACGGGGAGCGGACCGGTAGAGGCTTCGGGGCAGACTGAAGCACGGAAGGAGCCGCGGAGAGCGGACCGGTAGAGGCTTCGGGGCAGACTGTATAAGGAGAGAATAAAGAAAAGCCTGACCACCGCCAGACCTTGTCGTGTGTCTTTCCTGCCGGCCGGGAGCGGACATCGACAATGGAGCACACAATTAACCTGCAAAGAGCATCAATAAAGGATAACTTTTGCCTTCCTTTGTCCACATAAGTGCTTTCAGTTCAGGCTTCACCAGCTTTCTGTTTCCTCCTGTGATTACGGATCGCTATACTGTTAGTATATACTATGCTATGGAAGGGTTGCTAATCATCTGGGAGCAGCATTGAAAGTCTGAGCTTCTTATCAATCCCAAAGTCTCAGTTATCACTGTACACAGAGATAGCAACTACTGAAAAGGAGCCTTGCTTTCCAGTCACCCAAAGCCATTTGACATAAATTCACTTCACAGTCTAGTACTAAATGAGCACCCAAATAGTTGCATAGCTGAGTGAAGCCTCATAACTGTTACATTACATTTGATATGCTACGATGAAAATAGCTTTCAGTTCCAATTTTAATTGCACTTAATACTATTACGTGTTCTTTAAAAACTATGCTGAGAGCCTTTGAATTTCACCTATGCCTCTGAAATAAAGAATGCTGTATCTAATGAAGTTCCCATGAGAACTAAAGATGAGGTGCGTTTACAACCTGACCTCAGTAAGACTGCAAACAGGGCTGTGGCATTTATCTTTGCATTTACCTGTTTGTATTCCAGTTTTCATAGCGGGAAGATTTTCTCTAATCGGCTGCACTTTTATGCATCTGTGAACCAGGCATTCCGGACAAAATTATGACCTGCCTCCCTGATTCCAGTGGGTTTACACACCTCAGAGAATGACGTCACCTTTCAAAGACATGCGGTGGCTGGTAACGGTTTCTGAGGGGATTGCTAAGACAGAGCGGAATGGAAAGATGTAATGGTTATTTAGGTGGCTGGAAGCAAGAATCTGATATCGCCATGAGTTTTCAGCATGCTGTCACACAGAATAAATCACAAAGATGCTGGCTGGTACACTACCCAGATATGTTACTAATGCATAATTTAGAATTGTTGATTTCTAGCATTTAAATGTTAAGGATAAGCATCAGTACTGAACAATCCGAGTATCTTTCAAAGTAACTGTGGTGTATACAACTGGCAGTTGATATGTGTCTGTCAGATGAGCAAATTAGTGTAAGATTATATATACTTAATTATTTAAGTGCCTTTATCATAGAAGCTCTGTCTCGCCACATGGCTTATATTTATTAGTGCACTACTTTATATGTTATATAAATTTACATTTTATCTAGAGATTTATTTTTCTGTTTCTAGCCATCACATGAGTTGTATACATTCATTGTTTTACTGGATGAAAGACAATACATAAAAATAGGAAATTAGAAAATTTTATTCTAAATTTAGTTCAGAGCCTCCAAAGACAAAGTAATGATCAGGAAATGGAAACATTCAATAATCTAATTTGATCAGTGTGCACTGTGTGCATGTATTGGAAGATCACACTTTATCATAAAATATGTAAAAATTGCATATTAATCAAAAATGTTTTAGAAGTTTAGGGAAATGGAAATATTAAGTACTCTGATTTGATTGTTAATTCTGTACATATGTCTGGAATTACCACATTGTGGCCCTTTAACATGTATAATTAAGTTAATCCTTTTTTAATTTTTACTTTCCACTAATAGGTTGGGCTTTCTAAACAAAATAGTACCAAAATATAACAATTGATCAAACTGCAAGCCATAATAAAGTATTTATATTAAATTACTTACTATGAATAGCAATTCAGTGCTTTTAGATTCCATGGGGCATTCTAGAGTTTTAGATTTTCATATGATAGTTTTATGAACGGAAATATCTTTACAAGGCAACTTTTCTAAGTAAATCAATTTTTTTAACATGTATTGTATGAGAACATTTTTGCATAGTCCATTTTTCTGAAAGAATAATTTTATGTATTAAAAATTATTAACCCTGGCATTATTAAAAACACTGCACAAAAAGTTAACATATTTAGAAAATTTTCTTTTTCACCTTTCATATATCTGGACATTTTCTCCCTCTGTTTTCACAAAATATACAGCTATTTTCAATAAAGGAAATCAGAGGTTTATACCTGGTCATTATGTCTGTAACACACTGTCACAACTGCTGAGATGTGAACCCTCATCTTTAAGATCCTCTGTGTTTTGGATGAGCAGGGCTGGTACTCTGCAAACTAAGTTCCTTTTCCCATTAGGGTCAGCTGATTCCTGAGAGGCTCTTTCAAGATCTTCAGAGGGTAGCGGAGGGAGCCTGCCTGGCCAAGAAGAACATGAGAACTTGCTTTGTTGTCGTTTGTTGTTGTTGTTGTTGTTAGTTTTCTGTTCATGTTAATTCAACAGTTAACCCTCAAGCTTCTTCAGAGACAAGGTCCCAGCTCCACAGCATCAGCCCCAGGGAGGTGCCCTGCTCTGAGGTCTGGACCCCTCTTTTAAGCCTCTGGATTTTGAAAGGACCGCTTTGCTAGAGCCTAGGGAAAGGAGATCTTTTATAGTTTGTTATCTCTGTGTTATCTTTGTATTCTCTTTTTATGTTTTTAGCTTTCTCACCTGTATAATACATTGCATTTCTCAATATCAAGTATGTTTTTCTGTTTTGTAAGTCAAAGGATTATAATGCATTTTGATTGGATTTTTTTCTTAGTAATGGCATTTACATTTTTCCCTGAGATACTTGTGTTTATGACAACTTTGCCTAATTAAAGTTCCCACCAGAAAGAAGTTTTTGACTAAGTTATTTCTGGAATATTAATTCTATATTAAGAGATAATAACTTTTATATTGCCAAAATGATTTTTTAATCAGCATTCCCTTTCTGTAGTCAGAGAGTCAATTCTCACAGGGATTCTTTTCAGAGACATGTTGTTTATACTAAAATGAAATTGGTGTGAAAGAGAATCACCTTTCCAATTGATATTCCTTACCTACTCAGCCCTAGAGAACATCTCAATTCACATATGAGGACCACAATGACTTCTTGTGTGCTTTAAATTTTACTTTATTCTCAATAAATAGAGTACTTTTCAAAATGATTGCCCAATAGAGGCCTACCAATGTCTTCAAAAAGAGCCCCAGAGATTTTGTCCTGGTATCTAAGAAGTTTCAAAGCATTTTCTAGAAGGCTCAAAAACTTAAAGTCTAACTAATCAGCTGCAGACTTTGGAAAGTTAAAAATACATAACCTCAATCTTTCCCAGGGAATGACTTTCAATCTAATCACCTAGTGATAAGAATTTTAATCTATTTAAAGTTAGCCATCATCAAACTATCAAACTTTGATCTTAAACAGAGGAATGATCAGATATGGTTGATAGGATCCAATGATGTTGACTCAGTCTGTAGTCTGTTTGAATTGTGATTTCCTGAAGTCTGTGATTTTGTAGAAATAAAGATTCATTTTTATAGCTTGATATGATGAAAACATAGCTCCTTATGAATCAACTCTTTATATAAAGAACATTCTGGATATTTCTAAAATCTGAATTCTTATAGAACACTAGCTTGTATCCATTCCAGTATTTTTTTTTTTTATTCTTTGAGACAAAGTTTCATTATATGGTTAAGGCTGACTTTGAATTCACTTTGTAGCCCAGGCTGGCCTCACACTCCAGTGATCCTCCTGCCTCAGCCTCCTGAGTGCTAAGATTACAGGTGTGTGCAACCACGACTACCACTGAATTTCTTAGCAAACCTAGGAAAGCTGGCTAAATATGAAGGCATAAAAAGAAAAATAACCTTGATATCAGAATGCAGCAAACAAACATGCATTAAAGTTACTGACATGTATCTACTAATAACTATTCTAAGTACTTTACACATATTTATCTAGTTAAATCACAGACCAACACTGTAATTTCTCTGACAATAAGACCTGGCTGAAAAATAATCAGCCTTAAAAACTAGAGATCAAAAATACCACCCCAATCAGCCTATCCTTGCCCTGCCTGCCTTACAGAGTAGCAACCAAGCAAGAGAAGAGTGATGGGAGGGAAGGCAAAGATTGGCTAGTGAGGGCTGGCATTGTTTTCTCTAGTTCTCAAGACTGATTATTTCCCAGTTAGGTCTTAGTTTGGGGGAAAAGGGTATCAGTTATATTTTACAAATGAGAAGGTGAAGTCCCAAGAACTTTAAACTTCTCTTCCTAAGATCATTAACCTAGTAAATTCTAAAGCTTTCTTTGTTCCTGGGAAGAGTGGATGCAGTACACTGCTTCTCATGAGTTACTCATCAGTTTAAATGGGTATGAAGCCAACTGTTAGCCTGTGACCTGACCCTTCTTGTCCAAGCAAGCCCAGAGAAAGAGGAAAGTCTAGTAGGAACATAAGAAAGGCCATAGTCATTTCACTTTAAAAATGTACTAAGAAGTTTTGATAGACTCTTTCATCTGTAGAATGCTTTCAGTGTGATGTTCCTAGTTAATCTAGGGAAGTTTTGGTAAATATATTCATAGTTTGTAAATTTGTGGTGCAAGATTTGCTAAAAAGAAATGCCAGCATCTGTATGTGACTGAGACAACACTTCATCACTGAAATAATTCCTATTTTGCAAATGATGCCCTTCATGTATCGCTTAGAGAGGTCCTATGCTAAATAGATGCCAGGGTGGCATGGAGAGGACAG